ATTATACTATGTTGCAGTTCAAATTTTGACTGACATATTATATAAATAACACATTTTGAGTAGCCAGCACAAAGAAAGCTTTTAAATAATTTCACTACTTTATTCTTTGACAGAAAATATGGATTGTAGAACAATATAAAGTTGCCATAAATGCAAAATTGGGGAAAAAATATAAAATAATATTTGTCTTTAACAAGAAAATTATATAAAAACATAAAATAAAAGATAAACATATATAATCAATTATGCAAGATAAGCTACAATAACAATTTAAGTCATTAACAAATATATAATTGCACAACCTTTAGAAACTAGAGAGGTTACAATTAAGTAGTTAAATTTCGTAGCATTTTATTTACCATTTCTTACCATATTTATTGATTTTTATTATTTCAAAAAAAAATAAAAACAAGAGGGCCATGATAGCCCTGAAGTCGCTCACCTGTATATAGGCCCCCGTAGCGGGGCCAGTTTAAACCCCAGGGCTTTTATTTGAACAAACTTGGTAGACACCCATTTGAAGATGTTTCATGCTAAACATCTAAGGTCTAGCTGGTCAAGGTTTTTCTTTACACATATAGTTAAAAACAATAACACACCTGGGGCAGGGCCAGTTTAAACCCAAGGGGGCTTTTATTTGAACAATCTTTGTAGACACTTACTAGAAAATATTTCATGCTTTAATATCTGAACTCTAGTTATTCGGATTTTTTGAAAGAAGATTTTTAAGTTTTTGCTAAACACATATAAGGAAAATCAATGACCCCCGGGGGGGGCCAATTTTGACTTACTAGAAGATGTTTCATGCTTAATATCTAAACTCTAGCTATTTGGTTTTTTTCAAAGTAGATTTTTAGTTTTTGCTATATTAACACATATAAGGAAAATCAATGTCCCCTGGGGCGGGGGCCAATTTTGACCCCGGGGCTTTTATTTGAACAAACTTTGCAGACACTCACTAGAAGATGCTTCATGCTTAATATCTAAAACTCTAGCTATTTTGAGTTTTTTCAAAAAAGATTTTTTAAGTTTTTTTTATACACACATATAAGGAAAATCAATGACCCCCAGGGCGGGGCCAATTTTTGACCCCAGGGCTCTTAAAATTTGAACAAACTTGGTAGACATCCATTAGAACATGTTTCATGCTAAATATCTTAGCTCTAGCTCTATGGGTTCTTTAAAAGAAAATTTTTTAAGTTATTACTACATGTATATGCATATAGGGAAAAATTCAATGACCCCCCCGGGGGGGCCAATTATGACCTCAGGGCTTTTATTTGAACAAACTGGTAGTACACCCATTAGAAGATGTTTTTCATGCTAAATTTCTTAGCTCTAGCTCTTTGGGTTCTTTAAAAGAAGATTTTTTTTAAGTTTTTACTATTATGCCAAATAGGGAAAATCAATGACCCCCTGGGGCGGGGCCAATTTTGACCCCAGGGCTTTTTATTTGAACAAAACTTGGTAGACACTCACTAGAAGATGTTTCATGCCAAATATCTAAGCTCTAGCTCTTTGGGTTTTTTAGAAGAAGATATTTAAAGTTTTTTCTTTTGGTTGCCATGGCAACCAGAGTTCTGCATGGAATTAAATTCTTTGAACAATTTTCAAAGGTGACCACCAAAGGAACATTCCTGTGAAGTTTGGATGAAATTGGCTTAGTGGTTTATGAGGAGATGTCATTTAAAGTAAAAGTTTACAGACGACGGATGGACGGACGGACGGACGCCGGACGAAAAGCGATCACAAAAGCTCACCCTGTCACTTTGTGACAGGTGAGCTAAAAAGTACATTTATCAATTTTATAGCATGTCTTTTATTATTATTATTTTAACACTTCTTTAATCAATTTGTTAACATATTTTTTCATTAGTTAGCATATCTATCTATTTATGAACATACTCATTAATACTCATATTTTCCAGAGATAAATCCCTTGTTACTTAATTTACCTAGATAAGATTTTCATATACAATGTGTATTTATAGTTTTTATATTTAAACTCCAGCAGGAAGAAATTTAGCAAATGCAACCAAAGGTCATGTTTGTAATTGCTGCAATAAATTCATATGTCAGTTTTAACTTTTTTGTTTTGTTTCATTTTTTAAGCCTTTTCCCAACAGTATTTTCATCATATAGGCGGGTAGTTCCTAACCATTGTTCCTGGACAGTTACACCAGTACTAGACTACTTTCCTCCGCGCTAAACTACCAAAGCATCTCCCGGAGATCGAACCCACGCCAGAGAGGTAACTGGATTAGAAGTCATCGACTCTAACTTCTCGACCACGGAGGCGGTTTGACCCTTATTCCACTTGAAAAAATGTGATTTAACCTTTACCATCGGTATAGAGCTTGTTCAACCGCATTATCTGTGCAGTCTGATCAACCTTGATACTATTTTTTTAGCTTTTTGATATTGAAACCCCTTTTAAAACTTTCAATAGATTGTTTCAAATTTCAAGCAGGGCAAATCCATTACAACCATAGAGAAAGTTAAGGGTTAAAATATGTTGAAAATAATAACTTTGCTCATATTTTAAAAATATTGTTTTTAACAAATTCTTCACATATATATCAGCTACAAATTAAAAAAATTGCAACCTCTCTAGTATCGCCCCATTTCATATAATGCTATAATCCATTCAGATCTATTTCCATTGGCATGAGAAAAATCGTGCATTGCGTACTTCCACGTTTATAATCGCGATATTCTATCAAACTCTTGTCTATTTTTACTGTACAAGGAACCCAATGGCTGGTTCCATGCACACATCACAATATGGGCCGTTAATAAGACTGGATACCTTTATTTAGAACGTTTTAGATATAGTTAGAGCCAGTTCTCCAGTTATAGTGAATAGAATCTAATCCCACATCTCCATGACGACTTATGTTAGGATGAAATATCTTTGTTATAAACTGAACCTTTGGGGGTCTCATTGGATAACTGTAATACAAAAAGAAAAAAATATACATAATAACATATCAAATAAAAGTATAAATTTTCATCAGTAAAAATATAATATTCCATATTTTGACACATTATGTATATAATCATGTAACAATAGATACTCTTGCCATACAGATATCACTATATGTATATTAGAGTGTTCAGATAAACAAAAATATCTTTATAGAATTATGATGATTAGGTCATTTTTTCTGAAAAGCTTTTAATTTTTTTCTAAATTTTTTTGTGTGTGTTCTATTACAATTTCCAAAATGGTACAACATGTAATTGGACATATTGTTAAACAATCTTTTTAAGGTAGTACACCCCTAATGGACACTATAAGGAACTGTAAAATTGACAACATAGGACAGTTATATGCCTTAAATGTCACCTGTATGCAAAATTTAAACAAAATTTACCGTGTGGTTTATGAGTTATGGACATTTTTCTGAACTAAAACTTTGCCATTAGAAGGGCTTTTTTTTCAGAAATGAGGAAACTCTAAATAATTATATATTCATCATTATGAAAAATGTTTTTCCTATAGCTCATGTTAAGAAAAAACAAAGAATGATATTAAGGTAACAAATTAAACAAACAAAATTATTGTTTTTAAACGAAATGTTTTAATATGTTATTAAAAATGTTAACCATACCCCACCCACTTTTAACACTTATTTGACCATTTCCATATTTGAAAAAAAGCCTTTTTTTTAAATATTCCTAAAAATTTCCACAATGAGGGCAGTTTTTCAAAGTTTGCATAAATTTTCTTAAATGTATTATTGGTTGGTCTTGCAACATATTAAATACTTTTACCGTGTAGTTTTTATTTTATTAAACTTTGAAAATATCTGGTATCATAATTTGCTATTAAATTTTGGCATTATTTAGTAAATAAATACCTATAAAAAATTATATAATTAAAATGAAACACCTTTTTTCTTCCATTAGGGATCTGAGAGAATGTTAAAAAGAAAAAAAAAAAGAAAGAAAAAAAAGTTGCCCCTTCTGGGGTTTGAACCCACGCCCCTCAGTTTCTATACACTTTACAGTGATTCTAGCCTATTTGAATACTCTTTAAAGTGGAGGTAGTGCATTAGGGGTGTACTACCTTAATTCTGTCCATTTTGTAAAATAAATATGTATAAAAAATATTTTTTAGACAAAGTAATTACATTTCTTATTTTTTAAAATTTTATATTTTAAAATTGATTTGAAAAAAAGCTTAATTGCAAGACCTTATATAAAAAAGTTTTTTAAACCGAAAAACAAATGGGGAATCACATACTATAGGCACAATTTTACTTAAATGAATTATTTCAGGCACAAAAAGCACCCGATAAAACCACTACATTCATTACCACCGGGTAGCTTTCTCATGTGAAAGAATCCAAATCCCTGTTTAAAAAACAACCCACAGCGGGGGAGGGCAATGGGTTTTAAATAACACCTTAACCACTCAGCCACGGACACCCTGATAATAACATCATAAAATTCTGTGACATTCTAAAATTAGATTATGAAAAAATCATAATTTTGCCGTTTAAAAATTCTCTTAAAGTATTTTATAAGATTTAGATTTATACGCTTTAAGATAATGAAAATACCATATTAACTTTCATCAATTCTAAATAATAATCTACGGCAAAGGTTGGAAGCAAACACTTCAACACCAGATAATTTTAAGCAAAATAATTTAATCAAACATGGTCAGGATTTATAAATTCCATAAGAAGAACTGTTGGAAGAACTGTGTGGACAACTATTCTGAGTGCTTGAAAGTAAACAATAGTCTGGATAATGTAGAATTTACTAAGTTCAAAAAGTGCCATAATTCTATTAAAAGGTATGTTAGAGTTATCAGCCTTGAACAGTGTTTTCCTATTCCACTCTAAATTAAGTGTGTGAAAGTTCAACCTATTTTCTAGATACAAACTTGAGTGCAAAACCTTAACCAAAGTGTAAGACAGACAACGTAATGAAAAAGTAGCTCCCCCTATTAATCCAGCTAAAAATACTTCATTAGATATATGACTTACCTGTCTGGAATTTGTAAATACAACAGGAATAAGCCACCCTCATACGGACTTCCTTGTGGTCCTGTGATAGAAGCCTGCCAGTGGCAACAGTGCCGGTACAGAGGTCCAGCACGTATACCTTCCGGAGGATCGATCGGACTTGAGGGTTTTAAGTTCACTTCTTAGTCGTCTATGTCTTCATGAATTCTCTTCTATAGGTGTGTACTCTGAAAAGATACTACTATTTGACATTTTGCATTGATAATCTTGCCCCTTTTCCCCCTAAAATAATCTTATTTTAATCTTGACCCTACTGAGTCCATACTGACTGCAACTGAATCTACCCATGTTTACAATACAGACCAGGACTGGCCAAAACGTTTTTGCCATCTGAGCAGGGTCTGCACTATTCAGTCAGTACGTACATGTATTTTGATTCTATATATATGTGAGAAATATTCGGTGAGTAATGTTCACTGTGTGAGAAATATTCAGTGTGTAATGTTCACTGTATGAGAAGTATTCAGTAAGTAATGTTCACTATGTGAGAAGTATTCAGTATGTAATGTTCACTGTGTGAGAAGTATTCAGTGTGAAATGTTCACTGTGTGTGAAGTATTCAGTGTGTAATGTTCAGTGAGTTAGAAGTAGTCAGTGTAGAATGCTCACTGTGTGATAAGTATTGAGTGTGTATTGCTCAATGTGTGAGAAGTATTTTGTGTGAAATGCTCACTGTGTGAGAAATATTGAGTGTGTATTGCTCAATGTGTGAGAAGTATTCATGTGTAATGTTCACTTTGTCAGAAGTATTCAGTGTGTATGTTCACTGTGTCATAGTTATTTTCAGTGTGTATGTTTCCACTGTGTAGAGGTATTCAGTGTGGCAATGTTCACTGTGTGAGAAGTATTCAGTGTGTTAATGTTCACTGTGTGAGAAGTATTCAGTGTGTAATGTTCACTGTGTGAGAAATATTCAGTGTGCAATGTTCACTGTGTAAGAAGTATTCAGTGTGTAATGTTCACTGTGTGAGAAGTATTCAGTGTGCATGTTCACTGTGTGAGAAGTACTCAGTGTGTGTAATGTTCACTGTGTCAGAAAGTATTCAGTGTGTATGTTCACTGCATTGAGAAGTATTCAGTGTTTGTAAAATTCACTGAGTGAGTAAAGTAGTCAGTGTGAAATGTCGCTGAGGGAAAAGTATTTAGTGTGTAATATTCACTGTGTGAGAAGTATTCAGTATGTTCATGTTCGCTGAGTGAAAAGTATTTCAGTTTGTAATGTTTACTGTGTCAGAAGTACTTCAGTGTGTAATGTTTACTGTTGTGAGAAGTATTCAGTGTGTAATGTTTACTTGTTGAGAAGTTATTCAGTGGTGTAATGTTCACTGAGTGAGAAGTATCTTCAGTGGTGTAACTGGTCCACTGTGTTTGAGAAAGTATTCGACGTTGCGCAATGTTTCACCCTTGTGGAAGAGGTATTCAGGCACAATGTTTACTTTCGTGAGAAAAGTATTCAGTGTGTAATGTTCCGCTTGTGCGAGAATATCGAGTGAAATGTCACTGTTGTGAGTAATAATGAGCTATGTGTTCATTAGTGGGAAAGTATTCAGTTTGTAATTTCATTGTTGAGACGTATTCAATTGTTTACCAAGTTCATTGTCTCTGAGAAGAATTCAGGTGATTATATGTTCATATGTGAAAAGTATTCTAGTGAGTAATGCTCACTTTTGTGAGAAGTATTCCTGTGTAATTTCACTGTGTGATTAAGTATTCCGTGTGAAATGTTCACTGTGTAGAATTTGAGTTGTAATGTTCACTGTTGAGTTATTGAGTGTGTAATGTTCACGTTAGAAGTATTCGGTGTGTAATGTTCACTTTGTGAAAGTATTCCGATTTAATTCGGTGTGTGAGAAGTATTCAGTATTTATGTTCATGTGTTGAGAAGTATTTCAGTATGTAATGTTCACTGTGTGGGAAGTAATTCATATGTAATGTTCACTTTGTGAGAAGTATTCATTTTAATGTTCACTTTTGAGAAAAGTATTCCGTGTTTAAATTTCGGTGTGTGAGAAGTATTCAGTTTTTATCGTTCACTGTTGAGGAGTATTCAGTTTGTAATTTCACTGTGTGAGAAGTATTCCGTTTAAATTTCACTGTGTGAGAACTTTCATAGTAAGTCATTTGTAATATCAATTTTAAAAAATTTATTTTGTGAGAAGAATTTCAGTGATAAGTTTAGTATTGAAAGTATTTAGTATTAATGTTTACGTGTAAAGTTTCCCGTTTGGAATGTTCATGTTGACAATATTCCCTGTAAAATTTTATGTGGGAGAATTATGGTGTTATGTACTTTTGTGAGAATTATTGAGTGTGTAATGTTTTATGTGTGAGAAATTATTTTTA